CTGTTTGGATATGTTTCTGCAACATACATTATGGTTTAACTTGATGATGGAAGATTTCATTTTGATTTGAAGAATTAGTATTGATAACAGTTTGTTTGGATAGCACTACCTGGGTTTTCTCAGATCTAACATTCACATTTGATTTCCGTTTGGATCTGACTTTGATTTCTTAGCACTACCCACCATCAAAAGATTATAATGCATTGTTGGATGAAATGTAACAGTTCAAATGGAGTTCTTATTTCCATTGGGATGCTTAGATACTACTAACATGAATTAGGGGACAGCTTCAGATCATTTCAAACCGGCCAAATCAACAGCACACAACACCATGACAGCACACAAATGATGATATATCATCACAAGATCATTAGGGGGGCAAATTGGATACAGGGTGGGTGCAGCCAGCTAACAGAAATTGAACTGTTGATGAAAACTGTGTTGTGAATCTAAAGATTATTGTTTTGACCTGATCGCCCATTACAGATCTTGGAAATTCGCGGAAAATTTGGGACATCCGAACACCACCCTAAAACCTGACCCCCCATTTTTTCTATCCCAAACGATACTTTGGAAGGAGAAGAACCTTTTGGTAAGGCTCCGACCTCTGTACCGTTTGTATTTGGCTAGAAAATCCAAAAAATTCATTTTTAACGCCCCTCTAACGGCCTGCCCGTGGCCGATTTTTGGAATATGTTGCCCCTACCAGTTTCTTAACTATGGTGAAACCTATTTTGGTCTATAACTTTTGAATGAATGGTTTATATGCTTAGCTTTGTATTCGATGAGATAGAGAGACGCTAAAAGTATATACTCATGTAGAAATATAACCCCGAATCCTTTCGAGGGTGTATATATCTTGTTTTTATTGTTTTTGAACCCCAAAATGTATTGATATTGAATCAAATAGAGATGTTGTTGGGACAGAAAGGTGTTGGAAAGATTGAGAAAATTTCAAATAACATTGTGGTAATAAGAATGAGGGTCTAACATTAATAGTTGATGAATTATATCCAATATAAGTATATCAATGACATTACGATACTTCAAATAATCATCCAATCCACCCAAAAACTATTAGAAAAGTTGTATCCATACAGCCAAACTCCAATGTAGTTAAAATTTCATCAATATCTTTTAAAATGATTGAACAGTAACAATTCTCCATAATCAGCTTAACAAAACCATTAAATACTCCAACACCAAGTGCCCCTATCACCGCCACTGTAGCTTAACCATATGAACCATCACACACTTAATCTATAACAATCAAAATCAACTCAAAAACTCAAAAACTCAACGTTTTATTGCAATTTCCAATTCTCACCATAGTTAACAGAATTTGGTCACGTGAAGATGTGGCCCATAACACCAAAAATCCACTATACAAACCTTCAAATATATAAACTTGAATAAAACCATCAGAATCAACGATATTGCCCATATAAACCACATGTAGCATCAGTAAATCACATTCTACAAACCATTGGGTGGAAAAAACATGTATTTTGGCCTCAAAATACGTATATTAATCCAGTGCCGCCAGTGACCATTATCAACAACACCAACCAACAAACCAAACCAAATCAAAGAATCACACATTCAATCAATCAAAAACCCTGCAAGCAGATCCTAATAACCTCCGACAGCATATACCTGTAGCTGACTCATGCCTTCTCCCATATAGTCTTAACCACTCTCAATTAACCTCATACCTCTCTATATCCTGCTCCACGTCATCTCACTTTAATGTAGTACACAAACACAACTTCAATCAAGTTTTCTATCAACGAAAAACCTCAACACGTGACTTCCTTACCTTATCGACACATCTCCAATGACAGTCTATACACACCAATTCCAACCAATTTCAACCACAAATCATACTTCTTCTCCCTTAAACAACAACAACCCTCCCCACTGCTGCAACAGAAGTACCAAGATTGAGCCAGTCAGCGTTCTATAAATGTACTTTGACCTCAAAATACCAACTTATATTACTGAGTAAGCACCTTCCAAAACATAAAAAGCCCAGTAATGAAAGCTTTAGGTTCCCAAAAAGACATCAATAAGATACCCCAGATGATTCCAACTCTAACGGCGCCATAAAGACCATAGTCACCTATCATTTGTTAGTATATCCAAAAGATATATACAGCCATTTGTTTCGGCCGAGAAGTTCCCAGGTGTCACAAAACCACCAAATCTCTAAAAAACTTGCAATTTCAACTTTTTGAAAAAAAAAACAAAATGAAATAAAAAAAACAATCTTGGGGGATTTCCCCTGATGGCTGGGATTTCAAAAATTTTCTAAAGATCCAAAAATTTGGAAAAAGTGCTGAAATGGCTATTTTCCCAATCAAATTCCAATTTCTTATAGTTAAGATCAAATGAACACTAAACCAGCAACCGTAGAGTAATTTAGAGATCTCTTCCTTGAATACATTCATACCCTTCCGCTGTATTTCATACCTGTTTTCTTCTCTCTTGTTTTTGCGTCATCAAGTGACCATTGTACTTTAACAC